ATTCTACTGCGTTTGCAAATGGACGGATCATGCTTCGCGGTCTAAGCCCAAGTTCTACTTACGAAACGTTTGTAGTGGGTTGGAAAGCCGTGGGTCCAGTATTTTCCTTCGATGATACTATCACCACTCCACCAATTGGTAGGCTTTTTATTTATTTCCGTTGTGTCGATCCCCCTTTCCGCTCATCGATGATTGTCCTCCACCCTTAGGGCCGCATCCGTTGTCTGCAACGGTGAAGGAATGCGCCGCTGCAAACCAGTGAAAGTACTCACAAATCCGCGTGACACGACACTATCATGTAAGTAGTTCCCTTTATTGCTGTTACCACTCATGACGTGCCATTGCGCGAACAATTTTATTGCTCTGCAGACTGCTGTGAAGCGGGAAACTCGACGGCTCCTCATATTCCACGTCTTTGCAAAACTACCACCACCTTCCATATTTAATAACACCCACACCGTGACCGCGTGTGCATCTCAGTTTTCGTGCTTTGGTGGGACGTCTATTAGTGATACCAGTAGTAGCAGTATTGGTAGGAAGAGCAACTTTGACCCATAGTCTCGACAAGGTGAAAGAATCAATACAAATTAATGAAAGGACGTTCACTGCTTATCAGGTGGGTTTATAAGCGATGCGCTTTGGAGGTGGCGAAAATGTCGACAGTCGTCTGCAAAAGCATGCTGTGCGGAAATGGAAGGTCGCAGCTTTAGATTTGACGGGTAGGAATTACTAGTAGTTTTGGTAGGCGTGAGTCTCATCTGGGCACACATGCAAGGCGTTTTTGTGTATCTAAAAGGACCATGTTTGACCAAGGCTAACCGCACCACTTGGAGAATTGTATAACCTGCCTCACGAAGAAGTGTGCAGTCATACAACTTCGTGTTCATGGTTGCTCATTGAAAGAGCCTGAAATGAGTAAGGGAAATACCGTGAGATGTACAGTTAGAACCGCATTCGTATTTTTCAATTTGAAACTAATTGCTCGAGATTGCGTAAGGTCTGACCTTTGAAAGTGAGGGAGCTGCACTGATGCAGCGATGCCACAATAGTGCGCGTGAGCTGGCCATGGTGACAATTTGACGGTCCGTTGTGGCGTTCCCAAAGTTTACTCAGAGCATCGCCTTTGATACACTACACACATGCCTTTTGAATTTGTTCATGCAGAAGCGGCAGGAAAGGTTTCCTTTGATGCCTCGGCTCCCTCCCAAGTTTAACTTGTGTACCTGACCCACGTGCGTCCCACTTCTAACAAGAACCGATGCATATGGTTGAAGCAGTGCAGCTCCACTTGCACGGATTTTGAGAAGGCTAAGTTTTTTGAGCAGCAGATTTGCGCACAGTCTTCATTTTGCCCAAAGAAAACCCCTGTAGGCATGCCTTCATCCGTTGAATGAAGAGAAAGTCTCCTTACACACTTGTACTTAGCTCAAGGTAGCTGACTCACAACATTGTCTCCTCTTAGTGCAATAGCCTTCGTCCCACTCACCCGACTGCGGGGACATTGGCAACTCAAGGTCAATTACCTCATCACACACCGAGGATGACACCTCTTCCCGAATGAGAGGTATTTGCGTCTGCAGTCCCAACATCACTGAGAGACAAAAGATGCACTGTATACTTGAGGAAGTTTGACATTGCCGTGGTCTTCGCAGCACCCACCCTTATCATTGCACTTCCTACCGTTATTTGTCACTCGCTCCACGCACATTGCAACGCAGCACGCATGCCTGACTGAGGAGT